AAGGACTGCAGTGTTTGAGATCTTTACCTTACTTATAAGCTAAGCCTGTTACTCCTTCATTGCTGTTGGCAGAAGACACAAGACTCCTGGGTCAGAGACAAAGGACTTTATCATCATAGCAAAAGCAGTAGCCAGAGCTTCATGTTCATTTGTATTGATTCCCTATGTCCCTCAAGTCCCATGGAGGGGTGACACAAAAGACCCATCATGGATGCCTAGACACACAGTGAGTTACATTAAAGGAGAGGAGTCCTGAGCTTGGGGAGTTCACCACTTTTATAGTAAAAAGCAACAAGCTTGCTTCTTGGCAGGGGAAAGACACTACCTCATCCTTTGAGGTTGCTCACTGCAAACATAGCTCGGAGAAACATAACTTTCAAAGATGGTTTCATAGATTTTAGGTAGACAAGGTCTTAAATATTGATGAACTGTTTAGTTGATTGCTATATCTTGGTCTTAAAAAAAGACATTCAATATAAGCATTTATTAGAGAATTTTATGAGTCAGATACTTACAAAGGACTGCAGTGTTTGAGATCTTTACCTTACTTATAAGCTAAGCCTGTTACTCCTTCATTGCTGTTGGCAGAAGACACAAGACTCCTGGGTCAGAGACAAAGGACTTTATCATCATAGCAAAAGCAGTAGCCAGAGCTTCATGTTCATTTGTATTGATTCCCTATGTCCCTCAAGTCCCATGGAGGGGTGACACAAAAGACCCATCATGGATGCCTAGACACACAGTGAGTTACATTAAAGGAGAGGAGTCCTGAGCTTGGGGAGTTCACCACTTTTATAGTAAAAAGCAACAAGCTTGCTTCTTGGCAGGGGAAAGACACTACCTCATCCTTTGAGGTTGCTCACTGCAAACATAGCTCGGAGAAACGGCCTGTGGAAAGAGTGGTCAGGGTTTTGCATTCTTGGCACATCTAAAAAGAATGTGCAGGGATGCTCAGGGCCCACAGAGATGGCCTCTCCCAACAGCACTGTGTTAGTGAGAAAAATATATAGGCTTGTAAAATGAATTAGACTTAATAGATACTACAATTTTCTGAGGAAAAACACCGGAACTAGTCATTAAAATTGAGATGTACAACATTAGTGATTCTCCCTCCCTACATGGATAATGTTGTTGACAAGGTCTGTCATCTTTATAACATTGATGAATATGTGGAAGGCTAGTTGAAAATGTAGTGGGATTAATTGGACATCATTATTTTGAATATTAAGAAATTTTTAAGATGGCCAGTTTGCTCAGTTGGTTAGCGGGTGGTTCTGATAACACTAAGGTCCACGGTTCAATCTCTATACAGGCCAGCAAAAAAAAAAAAAAAAAAAATTAATTTAAACTTAGCCTTTCTTAGTTGAATATTGGTGTGCTTTAATAGTTTTCTTCAAACATGATGAAAAAGTTATGATGTTCCAAAACATTGTAGTGATAATAGTGATAACCATCACCACAGCACCAATAATGGTAATTTTTCTCAGGGCTTAATATGTATAAAGCACCATTCAAAGTACTTCTGGAGGTGGGTACTCAGCCTCTACCTGGGGAGATGCTGCTGAGCTCACTCTTACCATGAGAAGTTCACAGCCTAGGAGCTCTGCCGTGAAGACACTGAACTCCCAAATCACTGTGGGAACTAAAAGTGCGACGGGTTCGGAGCGCCCGCGTAAGGAAACAGCGCGATCCT